GGCATACTTTTAGGTATAGTATTCCTTAACTGTTTATCTGCAAAGTCTGTAAAGCACATGAAACAGTGAACAAAATATTACCAAAAGAGTCCTTAAAAATAAGAATTACTTGTTATATTACTAAACTTACAGAACCAGGCCTTGGATAAGGGACTTTTCCTTCATAGACTGACCAGTGGTATTCAGGTCCTTCCTTATGTGCATATGGTCCGTTGAAGGCTGCCCGAATGCTAGACATATGATAGACACATATAGCATGCCCTCGAAAAATATTACTGAAAAATACAGAAAAGATAATTATTATTCTGGAACTAACTAGCAGGTCACCTAGCCAAACACCCCAGCCTACAAAGATAAGAGTCAAGTCTTTTGAGTAAAGTAGTTGCAATTTCTTTAAGCAAAGAATATTCTAGATATGTTAACTATTGCAATATTTCCAATTTTGAAACTCTGAAACTTACCATTTTCTTAATTGCCTACTTAATACAGTTGAAAGTGACATTGTTAGAATGACAAAAATGATGTCACTTCACTTATTTTTAAACCTTGTGTTGTGTTATTATTTTTTTTATTAAGACAGATCGGGCCTTCATATTAATAAAGACTTATTCCCAAGGTGAATTATTCATTTAGGTATTATCTCCTTTTATGTTGTTCTATTTTCAAAGTAGACAGTGTTCTCTTACTCACTATGCTGTTAATATTGCTACAAATTCTATTAAGATGTATTAAGTTTCTTAATATATATGACTTAAAGAACAATTTAAAGTCTTATGAAAATTTAGGCCTTTTTTTCCATGTTTTAGCTGGGGTTCATGTAGACATTAATATGCTTGTATATTCCTTCCTTCAGCCACTGAAAAGTGTCTATAGTAAAAAGATGACTGGACTGAATATGTTAAGCATGACAAAATTACTAACCATATAAAACTTAGATCCCTCATCTCCAGAACAAGCAGCAAGCAAAATAATTTTCTTGACTAAAATTTCTACTTGACTGTATAAAGGCAGTAGTTGACTAACTATGGCAACTTTTACTGAAAACATTTGTAATCAGATTCTACAAAAGGATATCTTTAAAAATTATTTTTTAAACAACCTTGCCATATTCCTTAATTTAGCATGAAATGAATGAATTTTAACATTATCAGAATCTCTGTATTTTAAGAATCCAAATTGTTAATGTTTGTGAAAGCATTTTGCAAAATTCAAAGTTCTACATAAACAAAGTTTCCTACATACTGAGACACCTGTAAAACAGCAGTTATGTTACTGTCCTACACCCCCAATTTACACATTTTATAACACACCTTGAAGCAATTGGAAATGCCTAGGATGCAGGGAACACTTGAGATAGTCTCCTAACTAAAGTGGTAGCACACCTTTGATCACCATTCTACAAATATCAATCCTTATGTCAGGTAACAGCTGGAAAGCTTTTGTTCTCAGATTTATATAAATTGAACAGTCAAAAGAGAAATTATAGAAGAAAATCATGTCTTATGTTTGATTTCTCAGAAAGATCCATTATGCTATCATTTAGGAAAATAACTTATAATCTGATCATATTAACCCATAGAAAAACTAAACTGATTATTCCATAGCTTAAATTTATCATATAAATTCACTGAATTATCATGCAATGTATGAATTATTCACAGCATAAGGGAGGAGATGAAGTTAAAATGATAAGTACTCTCCATGCACTGTGATAACTACCAATCTACGTTAACTATTTTTCTTTGCATCAAGAAATAATTGATAGACAAATTGTTTCCATGTTTCTCTGTTGAAGAAAAAGTCTCTTTGCAACAGCAGGATTCTTGTCTACAGAGATGTATTATTTTTTCTAAGTGACATTAGAAACCACCAGCTTAAAAATAACAAACTAAAGCTGTGTGGAAAGACCCCCACGTAAGCACAGTATACACAATTATGTGACAGTTTATGGCTTATATGGTGTAAAAGAGGAATTCAGTAATATTATTCTAGCCCTGTCAAGAGAATTGAGGTATATTCTTCTTTATTTTTTATCCTAATCATTTTACCTGCACTATGCCTTACCTAGAAAGAGACTCAGGAAATTGTGTATATAACCTTTTAACAAAAACTGATTCTAATATTTTTATTTGTGTGTAAAAATACATGAAATAATATTTTATCCATTTTTTACAGTACTTTACCATGGGTAAAAAAAAAATCAATGATCAACATGTGCTCACTACGAATCAACATGAGAGCAGGAAAATCAAAATAAAAGAGCAAGAAGAGTGCTCTGTGATTAAGAAATTGAGGAATTTTTCTTGGCTATGGCAATTGGTAAGTATTGGAGAACTGATTTAAATCAGTGTTGGAGGAGAAAGTTATTTCAAGCAAGATAAGTGAATAAATAAAAATATAGTAGTGGGAACTAGCAAAGTAGACACTGCCTCACATCTGTCAAGGCATTATCTTGTCAACATCAGACCATTAGTGAACTCAGAGGGAAAACATACAATGGTGAGTGAGTAACAGTTGATATAGAACCTTAAAAGCCTGACTTGGAAAATTCTGTATGATGAATAAAGGAATTGTCCTAGACTTTACAACATATAATAACACGTTGTAAGGACTGATATCTTACAAACTGTATGTGAAAAAAAAAAAAATCACTGTGTTCTAGATTAGAGAGTGAAGAGATTAGAATACTGAGCACAGGAAGATTCTGGGCACTATAAACAGAAACAAGATTTGGATTGAGATTGAGCTTTTGAAAACGAAAGTACATTTGCAAACATTGGAGAATAAAGATCAATTGGTGATTATAAAGTGTAGGAAATGAGAACAGCAACTGGGTCAGTAGTCTTACAAGTTACATACACCGTGAAAGGAGAGTCCAGTGAGGCATCTCTTGTTTTATAGTGTTTTTATTGACTGTATAAATTTCTCACCTGGTAGTGTTAAAGAGTCCAAATATCACCGGATTCTTATGATCTCTAGTAGGTAGCAAAAAAATGTCCTCTGAAAAATTAAAGAACATTCCATCGCTTAGTATTTTTAGCTCTCTTTGCATGCAAAGAAAATGTATTCACATAAATTTGTTTAGAATCCAATATAGATTTTAAGATGTATATTTTCATATACAATTATATAACCAAGATCAGTCATAACAGAGCTAATCATTCAGTTGTTCTGGGTGACCTTGAGCTGAACAACAGGAAGGAGCCAGACATAGACTAAGCTAACAAGATGAGCCTCTTTGAGTTCTTGCAATCCCTTTTCCCCCAGCATTTGTGCCTGCCCAAATTGAAAAGAACAGAAACTTGCTCTGTGTTAGATAGAGGTCAAATACACAGAAAACAAGTTTTCTATGTGTCCTAGGGATAAAGTTATAAAGAAGCATATACATAAAAGAGCAAATTTAATTCACCTAAAAACATTTACCTAATTCATCAAAATGTGTGTCAATCCCATTCATTCCTGGTACTGAGCAAACGAGTCTCGCTTTTAGGAAAGTGCTCCACTTATTCACCAGTATTCTCTGCCCTCCTACATCATTCTGTGAAAACCAAAAAGGAGGTAAATAGTTACCTGAAGAATTCTGACCAACCACAGATTTTATATTATTAAACATGCAGTTGCCAAGAGTTATAACTTTTTTATTTAACTAGGAAAATTTGGCATAATTCTCAAGTAATGTCATAGGTGCAATTCCCCATAATTCAGGTTTTTTTTTTTTTTTGGTTTCTTAATTCGGCCTTGTCAGCGCACTTTTGCCCTGATACCTTAAATATATTTTGCAGACGTTAAACAATATTAATACAGCAATCTCTCCTAAACAGAATAGTGGGGAGATACACTAATCATGATTATTACTTTGTTCATAAATAATTTGCTTCTCTCAGGAATATAGAAACATTCATTTCTTTTCTTCCTTTATCAAAGGAAAAAGGCTTTTCAAGAAAGCTTGAAATACACACACACACACACACACACACACACACACACATAATGCCCATACTATATATGTATATAAATATATACACACACTACACACACAAAATACATATACACACATATTTATATGTAAGTTTATTTTCGAACATCTTCTTAAATGCCAAGGTAACTTTACATTTGTAATTTTATTAGATTCTTAGATTATGTTGCTACTCCTATTGGTTTTAAATGTTCCCAAACAACTTCTCTAAATATTCAGTAAATTACAGATGGCTTTTTAAAAAAAATAACTTCAACCAATCGAATTGTTCAAACATAGCTATGTATATTATTTGTACTGTGTACTAAAGGAATAAAAAGGGTTTTGATTAAATTCATTAAGAAAAATCGAGCGCAAATTTCTGCACGGGAAGAAGGACAGTATAATTATAGACTATTTCTTCTTGGTATGGCTTCAAACATGGGGAAAATCATACAAAATACAAGGTCCTTTTAAGATACACCTTTCACTAGATATGAAATGTAGAGGTTGGTATAGTAAATATCAATTGTAGGCAGTCTAAAGAATACTAGAAAATATTTAAAAGTAGAAACTTATTATAAACTTAATAAAGGCCTGACCATAAGTTGTGAGATAAGCAAGCACAACGAGAGAGAAAGCCTCACCGCACAGAGCCGCCCGACCCTGGTGTAAATTGCGTGGGCATTGTTTTCTGCCTCCAGTGCCTTCTCAGTAAAAAAGAAATATACTTTGTTGTCATCTCTGTCTTCATTGTCAGGAATCATGTATGAACCTACAAATTTTGGTTCTATAGAAGCAAAAAATAGGAGAAAAAGAGAAATAGATATTATAACAAAATGCTAACAAGTTATTCCAATAAATTACATATCATCTGAATCCTTAAGTTTAACTTTCACCATTTCATAAAGAAATAGTTTTCTTGAATTTTTTTACCAAACATGGAAAACGCTGTAGATATCTCCACTTTATTTGCATATTAACAGCCCTTTTAGAAATATTACAAGAATATTTAATTGGAAAATAAAAGAATCAAGGAGAGAGGAAGAATTTCAAACAACAGGCAATGCAAAATTAAAATGCATACAGGAAAGAACAGATTAGGCGCATGATGAAGATAATCTCTAAAAATTTCCTTCCATTGTAGGTAAAAACTAAATGTAAGTATAAGTAACATATTAAAGTAAATAAATATATCATCATTTATTTTTAATTCATAAATTATCTACCAGTATAGCGCATAGATCATTTTAGATTCAAAGTAGAACATTTATTTTACGTTTTTGAGATTGTAGTCCAAGAGATTTGAATACATGTTCTTTGATATGGTACGTAAAATATATGAATGGTAGCATCAATAACGACTGTGCATTTTACAGCTTAATAAAAATGTGGAAAGTAATTAAAATGCTCACCATAAAACAATATTCTAGCACCTCCATATACCGGTGTGCCAAAATATAAAACGTACGTCTTACAAAGAATTCTGTATCAATGAATGTCTAGTGACTTTCCTAGAGTTTTGTCTCTAAAGTGTAATGCAATCCTATTAAAACAAGCAAAGCAGGGCAATCAATTAATCAAAAATTCTATCAATTGATAAAAGTAGACAAAACAGCTTACTGGATGATGGACTTTTCAGTTTTCATACATTTGCTTTGTTTTCCTTATTTAAATACTGATTTCTAAGCATTGCTCAAAAGGTATACTGATTTTATAATTAAGTCAATCAATTTTGATAGAAAATGATAAACATATATCACATACAATATTTTAATTCAAGAACGTTGTTAGTAAAACATCCTGAAATTTGTAAAGGAATTGTATTTATATTCTTATTATTATCAAAATGGCAATATTTTCCATAAGTTTTAGAGTTGGTTTCAATCCTAATTCACATGCTCTTCTCCTCATCCCTACCTTTCAACAGACGCTCATCGTCATGCTCAGTGCGGATATGGGCCAGTCGCCCCATGCTACGGAAGATTGCAGCGTCTCTGCTCCAGTAGTCACTGTAGAGTCCAGCAAACAATTCACTACCTACATGGGAGCATCAGTAAAAAAGAAGTCAGTGTTTGTTTCTGAATTTGAAGACAAGGTATAAGTCACAATTATATTAAATACATCCATATTTAATATGTGTATCTATAACATGTACTTTACGACATTAATACTATTGGTGTTAGGAGCATGGATGGTACAGTAAGAGTCCCAGGGTTTGAGTTCAGAGTCTGTCACTTGCTAGGTGTGAATTTGGGCAAGTTGCTAAGTTTCCTGTGCCTCAGTTTCCTCATTTACAAATTAGAAAAGTAATTGCATTCAGTAAGGTAGTTAAGAGTAAAGCACTTGTAAGAATAGCTGGTAAATCGTAAGACCTATATGAGTTTTTGGTAAATAACTTTGCTTCATTTATTTTCCTAGACTCAGTTGTCCTGTCTGGGGCAAAAATTTCTGACCAAGAAACAAATGGTAACAGTAGATTTCGGGAAACAGCAACCTTAAAGCAGAGTGGTAAAACTGCTTTCTTAATGAGTGGAATATAATATTGATCTAGTTCTAAAACAGATATGATTATTATATTACATGGTACTAATGCTTTTTTTAAGTTTGTAACGTGTATCTATGCATACATATGATATTTAAAGTGCTTTAAAGGTTAAGAGATTTCAAAATTAATTGTATTTCCAACTTAATATATCTAATTATGTAATTAATTTTATAATTAGGATTATTAAAATTACAGGTATAAGAATTTGACCTAAAACATAAACAGAATTTAAAAGCTCTTGAATACTTTATTTATAAATCTTATTTATTAGAACTTTAAAAATTGCTTCATTATTTATGAAGGATTTTTTTTCCCAAGGTAAGGTCTTTAAAGCTTTGGAGGCCAGGCGCGGTGGCTCATGCCTGTAATCCCAGAACTCTGGGAGGCTGAGGCGGGCGAATCACGAGATCAAGAGATTGATACCATCCTGGCTAACCCGGTGAAACCCTATCTCTACTAATAATACAAAAAATTAGCCAGGCATGGTGGCTGACACCTGTAGTCCCAGCTACTGGGGAGTCTGAGGCAGGAGAATGGCGTGAATCTGGGAGGCGGAGCTTGCAGTGAGCCGAGATTGCACCACTGCACTCCAGCCTGGGTGACAGAGCGAGACTCCGTCTCAAAAAACAAAAAAACAAAACAAAGCAAAACAAAACAAACAAACAAAAACCCTTTGGAAAACTTCAGAAGTGTAAGCATATTTGTATGGTTTAACATTTGGGAAAATGATCTATTAAATTATATATACAATAAATTAAAAGGAAATTTATTTTCAACTTGCATTAACTGACTATTAATTTTTTTAAAGTAAAGATGATTGCTTTTGTTATATCAAATTTAGAATAATAAGATATAAATTAAACTCAAAGATTAAAAAATTAAGCTTTAGAATTACTACTATAATAGTCTTTTTCATTTTAAAAAGATAAATAATTCTAATTAGTTTTTCTCTGTTCACAAAATCCTCTATGGATTCTTAAAACACTGTATGAGATACAAACAAATAAAATCTATGGTTTCCAAGAAATAATTCCTTTTTAAATTATATGTTCTATATGAGAGAGAGAGTAAAAAATTAATGTGTCAGAGTGTTAACAATTGGTGACTCGAGGTAAATGGTATACAGCTGTTACTTTTACTTAAATTTTTTTGTATTTGAAAATTTTCAAGATAACAGTTTTTAAAAAGAGATATTTATTGAGTTCTTCTAGTATATGCAACATACGCTAAGTGAGAGGTATGATGCAAGGAAAATAACAAAAACGAAATGATGATTTAAATCTGGACTTAACAACATATAATTTGGTAGAGAAAAGTTAGGTCAGAACTCTTACTTAAGCATATCATGTTATTTGGTAATAGAAAGGGAAAAGATTAACATAATTTTTTTATCAAAGTCAATTAATTAGTGCTGTCTTCCCCAGAAATTTTATGTCTGTTTGAAGAAGCAGTATTTTGAGATCAAATGCATTCAGTGGTTAGGTATATGACCTGTTACCTGGAATTCAGTCTGCATTATTTGAACATCGATAAAAGAGAGTCATTAAAAGGACTTTGGAATCATCTATGGCATAAACAACCAAGTTGATCCTTTAAAAAATTGACTATTAACACATGAGTGAAGATTTCTCTGAAATATTTTTGTTTTTAATTATTATAGTTGAATTATGTTTCCCACACCAAATATAAAGGCCATCTTGTGAAATGGTTGTAAATATAACCTATTTTGCTAATGTGGGCTGGGCTGAATCTTTAATGAATAGTGGGAATAAAGATTAGCTTTCTTTAAAATCATGAGTTTTCTATTCTTTAAATTTTTAATATTTGGTTTTAGATTTTAAAGTATTTTAGACTTTGATAACTGAAAATATTGTTAGGGGAAAATAATATTTATATTAGTACACATTGATTTTAATGGATTTATCCTAATTTGGAACATTGTTTCAAAATTATCATTTTAATCAATACTATAAAATTAACAAACAAGTACTCCTTGGAGCCACTAGATGGCAGCCCTATGATACTAGATAATACCATATCCAGGGACGATTATCTGCACAAGAGAAAAAATAATATATTCCCAATGTTACCCAGCTTCCCATTTTGCACTCAGGGCAGAGAAAATTGTGAGCAATTCCCATAACACAGTATGAACTGCATGACTTAAATTTCAAAGACACTATATAGGTGCTAAAAACTGTATGTTTGGCAAAATACTTTCCTAAGAAAATTAGAAAAGACAACATATTAGTGAAAAATAATATTAATAAAGCCTTAGGTAAAATAATACCTAATAGTAATTAAATAAGCAAAAATACTGAGCATTATTATAATTTTTAATACACTTTGTAGTAAATACATAGTCTCTAATTAAATTTATTTTAATTATTTGGTGTCAGAAAATTTGTGAATCAGTACATTGATCTTTTATAGAATGCAAAAATAACATCTGGATACATCATATTTTCATGGATTAAAATAGAAAAAACATTTTATGAAAATACTAAAATATGTTTTAGAGCTTCAATTATAACAGAATAACTATTTAAGGATTTACTTTTCTATGTCTATGGAGACGGGTGAGTTTAACTTCTTGTCATACTCAACAATAGTCTCTATAGAGAGAAGAAAGAATAGTAGAATTAGGTCTGCAGTGGAAATCTGGCAAGCTAGGTCCTCAGCTCGAAATCTGCTATTTTACCACCACAAACTGTTCAAAATCTTAAGGTCTCAGTTATCTGTAGAATCAAAGAGACCTCCATGTAATTCTCAGAACCTGCCAAGCTTTTATATTCTCTCTGCTCTTTGGCCTAGAATTCCACGCCTCTCTTCCCACCTCACCTTCCTTTTGCCTCGTTATTGTCCACTTTTTCCATGACGCCTTGTCTGGCCAAACTTTTGTTAGTGTAGTGGTTCCTAGTGCCACTGTAGCTCCGGTACCTATTTCTATCCTACTGCTCATCCGACTATATTTTTATTGACTCCTTATGTGTTTGAAATGATGCCTCATTAATGTCCGAAACACAAAAAATGCTCAATAAATACTGTTGAATCAATGAATGGCTTAATGAGTTAATAATTAAATATATCAGAAGTTCCTTTCAGGATTTAAAAAAGGTTATGAAAGGCTGTGAAATGTCAACCATCAGGGCCAGGTGCGGTGGCTCTCGCCTGTAATCCCAACATTTTGTGCAGCCCAGGCCGGAGGATCGCTTGAGTTCAGATGTTCAAGATCAGCCTGGGCAACATAAAGATACCTCCGTCTCTACCAAGAAAATAATAATAATAATAATAATAATAATAAATAATAAAGTAGCTGGGCATGGGGGCCCGCACCTGTGGTCCCAGCTACTCAGGAGGCTGAGGTGGGAGAATCGCTTGAGCCCGGCAGGTAGAGGCTGCAGTGAACTATGATTATGCTACTGCACTCCAGCCTCGGCAGCAGAGCCAGACTCTTCCTAAAGAAAGAGAAAAATAAACCACTCAGGATAAGATCCTAACTTTTAAAAACTGTTTCAGAGAGAAAATATCAAATGAAAGAAAATGCTATTGAGAATTTACATGGATAACAAATTTGAATTTTTGTTCCTTAAGGGCCTTATGTTATCTATTAATTTTAATAGATTAAAACAGGAACTCTATTTTTTTTCAAAAATTTGTCCCCAAGAATTTCAGCCCAAGGGACATTATATTGTGATTAAAAGACTGTGTCAACACTAAGTTGCTTATGTGAAAGAAAATAAGACAGTCATTTGATTCTTTGAAATAGATAAAAACAAATTCTTTACAATGATTCTAAAATGTGTAATTAAAATACTTTTCTCTGTAACTCCTTTTTTTACAATGTAAACTCTAGTTGAAGTTGTAATTAAATGCATTGCATTGCCTTAATATTTTATGGAATGTATCAAGAGTTTTGTTCATAGACTATATATTATCTGAGTTTTTATTTACCATGTTGGATTTTAATTGTATAACAAGAAAAATTCACAGTAGTGTTTCATGACCTTCTTATCTTGTTAAGTTTTACTCAAGCATTTGTTCTGTTTATGTTATAAATGTATGTCCTGCAATTCTAAATAATATGAAACACATTTGCCTCGTGGAACAGCATATACCTAAAGACTGATTTAGCTGCCTCACTTTATAACTGAATTTTATAATTTTGTTAGAAAATTATTCTATTGTGGATGGATTGTTTTGCAGAATCACTATGACCTGCATAGCTACGAAGAGAAACAAAATGCATTTGGGAAGATGAGGACGGATGAAAATGATCCACATATTTCAACATCCCAGTTCGCACTCATATTCTGCTTAGGATGCTGAAAGAAACCAGGATGAATGTGTAATTCTAAATGTGTGATTTTATTAGGCATTTAGCTGTTGTTTGGGCTTTCGGTTTATTTTGGTTTGGGCAGATGATTAGCACTAGCTCTCAACGTTAAGAAGGTGGTTTTGAGGCATGAAGGAACAATAAAAACATCTTATGAATCTGTTTATTTGTGTGTGCCAGCACCCATGGCTATACTCTTGAGTTATCTTTTTGGCAAACCGATGATATTGATACCATGATGGTTAAACCAGATTCTCAAAGGAGAGAATATAAGTGGGGAATTGAAGAGTGGGGCTTTTTTCTTCTTCCTTTACCTCTTTTCGTTGTGAAGGAACCATAAGTAAAGTATTCAAATAGCTCCTTAGAGACTAGCAGTCATGGTCAGAAGCTACAATAAGCATGTGGATAATGGGCATTCTGCCAAGTGTGAGAGCGAGCACAGCAGCTTTGGATAAGAAATTATAGATATTCTTTAGGGACAGGAAAGTGGTAAGGGAATAACCTGAAGTCT